CTCCAAAAAAATAAAAAAAAAAAAAAGAAAGAAAAAAAGGTAAATAAAAGCCGTGAGAAAGAAGGAGCAGAAGATGCGACGACGACAACTTCGGCGAGAGAGAGAGAGAGAGAGAGAGCGAGAGAGGAAAGAGGTGCGGCAAGTGGGTGAACTGGTTTTCTCTCCCTCCCGGCAAAGGACTACCGAGCCGAGTCCAGTCATCCTAATGGGAAGCGCTTGTTTCTCTCGTCCATTATAATATATATACCCGCGGCTGTACACGTATATACCTGTGGGCGATAAATATTCCGAGCGCGTATTTATCTTCCTCCACTATCTCCTTTTATTTTTTTTTTTATTTCTATTGAAAAAGCAGCAACGCGGACGCGCGCCCATGGAAATATTAATCGAGCATTAATTTGCGAAATTTTTCGCGGATCCTCTTTGTGTCCGTCGATTCTCGCTCAAGACGATCGGACAGTGAATAGTTTTCTGTACAAGAGAAAAAAAAAAAAAGTACTTGCACACCTCGCTCGCCTTCTCATATACACATAGGATGGACCACCCAAGTCCAACTCTACCAAATACCAGTCGTGGTAATATTATGATATTCTTAGCGACACAGCCACGTAGAGAGAGGTGACAACGACTCCCCCGTGAAAACCCCTCGTTAAGTTTCACACTCTCGGCTTAATTGGCATCGGGGGGAGGGGGAGCCAAAACATCCGGATGGAGTATCTCCGATCTGTCAATCTTGGGTTGATTTTCAATTCAGAGATACATCCACACCGTGTGTGCGTTTGTATAAAAAAAAAAATAATGGCGCTTCCAAAATATGAAGGTTACGCCGGGGTTTTTCTTTTCTGGTTTATTTTTCATGAAATATATAATATATACATATATCTACACCTATATGGCAGGTGCGCGCGAGCGCGTTCAAAGTAAATCTCGCGTGACGAGAAATAATCCACGGATGATTCATGCCAGGAGCGTTTACTTATCTGCACCGCGGTATGGCTCTCTTTGCCCGTCATACTTTCAAGAGAAGAGAAGAAAAAGAAAAAAAAAGTTGGGCGGGGAAGATGGGGAAACAAAAGGAGCCCCGCGAATTGATTTCGAGGGGCTCGTGCACGCAAAGTACCGGAGTCTTCAATTACGAAATTAATTAAACGTCTTTCGGAACCTTGGTAAAATATAATAACGAAAAGCAATTATCTCCCAAGACGCGCGTTGCCCGCTATACGTGTATATATATACATATGTCAAACGAGGACCGGTGCGAGAGATAGTGAAAAAAAAAATGTATTTTCACGTTTCGAGGGTGCGGGTCGAGATAAGAACGCGTGGGTCGTTACCGATTCCCCTCCCACCCTGGGTATAGTGGACGGTAGGCATCACATCAAATTTAATTTTTTTCTCACTGGGGGGGCTGAGTGAAACACCAACGCTGTGCCGATACTATATTTCAGACAGCCGAGCCGGAAGTCCAACCCTGTAGTAGTATACATATAGGGGTTATCGCGGAACAAGATCTGTATAGTGTCTCCGGGAAAAATCCATCGGGAGGGGATATGCCTGTCTTTGCGTGTGTACACGCGCGGGGGAAACATGCACGTCCCCTACAGCGTTTTTACTCATATTGTAATATTATGTGAGAATAGCACCTGCACATACAGCGCGAGTGAAATTCTTCGGACGAGTATTAAAAGGACATAATAATATTATATGCCCATGTACTGAAATTAATAACGTTACGCCGGATTAGTCACCTGCCCTGAATTTCTCAATAATCGCTGAATCATTGTAATATTACATCGTATATATACACCCCGTTTCCTTCGCATGAGTTGACAATCTTATGTGCATATACGTGTTTTACAATATTTTGGGTCACTGTATAAGTGCGCTTAATCTCAGTCGTGTCGTGGATATATATATATGCGTTGTCGCGAAACTGCATCACATATATATACGTAAAGATCGGCAACGTCGTTGCTATGCAGTTGCGCGACTCTCTCATTGAAAATGGCCTCAAAAGAGCGCGAGTGAGCTCAACTTAACTGCAGTTACATGTGCACACGTGTGTGCCTGGATTCAGTGTGCAAAATAAGTACAGGTACTTACACACTTACTGGCTGGAGGCGCTCTTTTGCGAAATCGCAGCTGCAGCAATTCGCTCTTTCTCTTCTTCGCTTATATATATACATACACAGCACCTTATACCTCTTTTCTTCGTTTCCCTGTATAGGTGTGGATACAATATATATATATATATATATATACCAATTTGAGGAAGGCAAATGTACANATATATATATATATACAGAGCTTGCCTATACATCATCATTATGGCATCGGATATCGCACGAGGTATCGCGTTGTCCATTGTTATTGTTCGCAAAAATTCATACATATATACTCGCGCGCTCCCGGCGCATATATACGTGCGAGAGAAGAAAAAAAAAAAAAATAGCACCTCTCGTATTATCCTATGTAACGGGATATACGTGATATCGCGCCCGAGAGCACATATATATTGTCGCGATGATTGGTGAGTGCCATTGTTTCTTCGTAAAAAAAATTTTTTTTTTTGGAGGAACAAGTATAAGGAGTATTGAATTGTGAATTTCGCGTGTGCGCGCATGTTTACTTACATGGGATTTTGAAAGGAAAAAAGGGGGTTGGCGCAAGATTTTGTTTAACTATATAATATAACTGCACATTAGCGGTGGGTGTGTACAATAGAGGGACGATTCCATCCACGGGGTGGATGGTCACGTATATACCTTACACCCATAACAACACAAGTGTCGTAATATAGCGGGAGCGACGGCAGCAGCTGAGCGACAGATGGCACGTGCGTTACGTATAGTATACCTTGTACACAAAAGAGAGAGAGAGAGAGAGAGAGAGAGAGTCGGATAATTGCACCATGGCTTGATGATTGCGAAGTAATAAGAAAAGGACGTGTAAAGGTATATATATATATATATATATATATATATTATGGGGGGTGGAGCGCATATTTATCCCCAAAGCCAGGCGGCGCTCCGATGGGCATGTACCTACGTAGAGGAGAGGCAAAGGAGATGAAGATAATTATCCTACGTACCGAGGGAAAAATAAAGAAAAAAAAGAAGTAAGTGACGAGAAAGACAAAATTGAAAGATACACACGGAACGGTGGAGTCTCTCTTTTTCTCTCGAGACTCGGAACTGACGTATGTTATAATCAAAGTGTATGCATATAAATAAGTATGTGTAATATACATGTATACCGGTTATACGCTTTTCGATCCTTACCGGTTATGTGCGCTCAAGAGTAGGGGTGTATAAATTTAGGAGCTCTTGTACAGCTGATGCACGCGCCCGCCCGTCGGATGGTGATGTGTTCAAGAGCTGCAGAAAGAGAGTTGAGTGGCAAAGTATATATACATCACCGAGAGCCTTCTCCCTCATGGGCTTGAAACCAATGCGTTTGTCCTTCCGTTGGAGGTATGATCGGTAATTTTCATGTATTTTTATGACATAGGTACATAAAAAAAAAAAAAAAAAAAAAAAAAAAGAATGCGTGCCCGCGATCGTTCAAGTGTGCGTATATAATATATACATATATCTACACCTATATGGCAGGTGCGCGCGAGCGCGTTCAAAGTAAATCTCGCGTGACGAGAAATAATCCACGGATGATTCATGCCAGGAGCGTTTACTTATCTGCACCGCGGTATGGCTCTCTTTGCCCGTCNAAAAAAAAAAAAAAATTGAACTAAAATTGGTGAGTCCAAGAGAGAGAGAGATCGCCACTGCAAATCGATTTGGAAAAAAAGGGGGGGATGGGTGGAAGGAAGAGAAGAGACGGATCAGAGATAATTGAACGGGTAATGGAGTGGAAAGGCAAAAAAAATAACAATGGAGGGGGGGGGGGCGGAAAAGCGCGTGCACGGTAAAACAACAAGGGAGCACGATACCATGGAGGCTTGGCGGGCATCGAGAGCGAAAAGAGACGGAGAGCAAGGTAAATTGGGAATTCAAGAGGAATTGTGTATGTACCTGTATAGCTGTATCTTACCGGCACGGCAGAGAGAGAGAGAGAAAAAAGGGTGGTCGGTGGCGGTGAGCGCGAGAGACAGCTGTTCGAACACAAAAGAGCGGAAGTTGCGGCTATACGCGCCGGCGCGTCTTATATATATATACGCGTTCCCCGCGATTAGATCGCTCGCTCTTTCTTCTCCCCTATAGGGTATATATATAATATTTTCGGGAGCGTCATCTCGGCTCTTTTTTTTTTCTTCTTTTTTTCTTCTTTCTGATCTTCCATGTTACGTGTAGTATAAGTATACACATTTGTACAAGGCGCACCTCTCCGCGACTGAGAAATAACCGCGCGCTCACAGGAACACCGTCATTATCATCTCGACCACCTTCTTCTCCTCTTCTCTTTTCTCTCTCTCTCTCGTCTCTTCCCCTCGTGTGAGAACGTTCCGCCGTAGCTGTGGCTCGTATACTCATTTTCTATTTTTTTTTTCTCCTTTCTTGCGGCCTGACTGAACCTCTTTTTTTTTCCCCTATACGCAGCGATTGTCTATTTGCCTTTCTATTGTACAAACGTGGATGTAACACTCGACCTGATGGCGCGAGGACGCTTTGTCGAAGAACGACGAAAATTACAGACACCGGGAGATATATTTATAGGTGGGTATAATATACACTTGCGTGTGACAAATGTGCGTGTGCTCTGCAACGCCTCGACAAAATATTATAGTGTGTGTGTGTATACTTAAAATATTATATTACGGCAGATAAGCGCGACAAAAGCCTCGATCCGTTACGAGACTTTGAGACGTAAGCACGTAAGCGCGTATCTTTTCAAAGAGATAAAAAAAAAAAAAAAAAAAGAAAGAAAAGAAAAATAAAGTAAAGCCGATGTGACGCACAGATAACGAAAAGTAAAGTGTACATACGAGCGAATTCTTTCCTTTTTTCTTAACCAGAATAAACGCGCAAAAAAAAAAAGGGCAAACGAGCGCGAGCTTATCATCCGCCCTTCCCCCGATGATGCTCAACAAGTGCACGTATATACATTACACTTGTGCGCATAAATTGTATATTTAATAATTATAAATGCGGCGCACGTATGTATACATTATTGTAATAAGACATATTTAAAAGTGTGGGAAAGTAGATTAAGCGTATATACATATATACATATAATTGGCCGAATGAAAAGTATATCACGTGTGTATATATAATACAGAGGTACCTATAGCGCAGAGAAGAAGAAACAAATGAAACGCATTAAACCGGCCGCATCTGATGCAGCTCTCGCAACAACCCCGTCATTATGAAACTATACCGATATACATGTATATATATTGTAAGCAATGCAAATTACACGTGTGTATACACACACACACACACACACACACACACCACCGAGTCAAGTATCTACGGTATACGTATGTATAGATGCAGGAATAAAAAGTGAAATTCCAAACCTCGCCTGCCTGCCTGCTGTTGGAGAAGCTCGAAAGTAGCGCGAATATAACGTGCACGTGTGTGTATACCGATCTCTGTACCGATACACGCACGCATCCGAGATACATACCTATATATGTATGGGTATACCATCCGCAGCGGAGGAGAAGAGAAAAAACACGAGTCGGGCGTGTGTGCGTGTATCGGATCCCTATAAGTATTATATGGTGGGCAAAAAAGCGAGAGCGCACTTCCGGTCTCATGCACCTATACGAGAGGAAGCCAAGGGATATATCTTCGGCCCACCTGTACGGATGAAACTCGCTCTCTCTCTCTCTCTGCGGGTTTCATCCGAACCGGGGCGGGCCCTGCATGGAGCAACCTGTATACACATAAGCGCACTTGTGATCTCTCTTTCTTTTCGAGTGCTATATGCTTATACGCCATTTGGTCGAAACGAGAATCGGTCGGGCTTGCAAGTGTGTGCCTCTTGGCTCGGATCGGGTTTGACGGTCGTCATCGTGCCACTGTTAGTTTATTTTTTTTTTCCTTTTTCAATTTTCTTTCTCATCCGAGTTCTCATTTTTTTACGAGGCTTCTGCGCGTCGATAGTGACTTTGGGGCCTGGAAGTCGTTTTGTCTCTCGAAATTACACGTACACCCGCAAACCCTCACTTTTTTTTTTTTTTTTTTTTTTTTTTTTTCATGGGAAAATGTTTTGTCGAAAAATACATGTACCCGCCTGTGGATGCTCCGCAATTAAGTTTTGATTAGAGATTTCGGCCCCTGAGAACGAGCAGCCCAAACGGTATATACCTATACCTGGGAATAAACAAAAGCTTACTGCGCATGAAACATACGTTTTGACAACTGGCAACGAGTAGATTGATTAAACGTGCATGAAAGCTGCAGGTGAAACACTTATTGTTGCGACACGTATCGCAAGAAAAAAAGATCAAAGGTGGACGCAACGCGGCGGTGTATAGTCGCTCATACTTGTTTGCGCAGAGCACACAAGACTTAATCTTATCAAAAGCCAAACAAGCTCGTCGAACGTGTATTTTGAATCTCGTGAAAAATCAAAACGAAATTCAAAGTGTACAAATAGTAACAAGAGAAAAAGAAAACATCAAATGGGAATGGTTTCTTCGGCTTTGTTATACTCACTGCTGCGGCTAGTTGTAATATATGTATACAGGTACACAGCCACTTTGTTTTTTTGCGCGAGCAAGTATATAATCCCATCTTGGCTGGCTGTTCCTTTGATACCACCAGCAGCAGCAGCAGCAGCGACGGGGCATTAAGCGCGTCTCGGTTGGCTGCAGCCGCGGCGAGGCCGATTTGCAAAAAAAGAGAGCCCCCTCCCCCCTTAGCTCTGTCGATTAAGAGCGTGGGATAATGACTGCGGATTTAGTTATTACGCCGTCCTCGTCGCTATACTTGCCTGTACACGGGATTCCATTTCTCCTGGGTGCACTTCCGCTTTTTGTGCCGCGCTCGTCAAAGTTTCTTTTTTCTCCTTCCTTTTTTCACTTGTTTCTCTCTTCCCCCGCTGGGTTTCCCGTTTCCTTCGGATGCGCCTCGGGATTATGGAATTATAGGCTATTAACCTTATCCGTGTCTTTATTCATTTCAAATGATGATAAACAATATGTGGGCAGGTTTGTCGACGATAGCCAGCGAGGAGGAGTTCCTGAGCAACGGGGCAGCACCGGCCGAGCAGATGTCGGGTTGTTACTTCTCGGCAAAGTACCAGGGCGAGTTCGTGATGCAGGTGCCGAGGGACGAGCCGGTTAAACGCCGGGCCGAGGACGAGCCACCCGTGCGATACGCAGCCCTGAACATAACCTTCAACGCCATACCCGCCTGGGGCTACTGCTACCGCAGGATCGACGACAAAGTTCTACTGAGGGACAGGTACGCGTTTTATCTCCCACTCCCTTCCCCCCAACTATATGTACTGTAAATTTACAACAGCGTGTGGCAAACATTGCAGGCGAGGGGGCTACGACCACTGTATCCGATGCTTCAGGCTGGCGCGGCGCTCGGCCAACGTCATCGAGGTCTTCTCGCAGAGCCTGGACAGGTGTTACGCCAACGAGAGCCTCGCCGTGGCCTCCTGCCAACACCTCGACGTCAGCTCCATCCTCTACCGTATGCGGCTTTTCGCCTCGGCAGGCATATAACATCATTTGTATTGGTTGTGTATGGTATTTAATTCAATGTTGTGTATGTGCGTCAGGTACGCTCGACGTGGGCGACGAGCCGGTGAGGAACGAGTTTTGTCCGCTGTCGGGCAAGTACCGGTACAAGTACAGCGTGAACTACGAGTACGGGGCCCTCGAGCACAACAGCGCCGAGACGAGGGACGAGTGCACCTCGTTCTCCTCGGACGTCGACAACTGCCCGAACGGCTCGATTCTTAATTTTCGCTTCCGGCGGTGCACCTTCGAGGACCACGGTACGTGTGATACTGCCCGATGGGCCCAAAATTTTTTTTTTGTTTTTTGTTTTTTTAATAATACGAGCTGTTGTTGACGCGGTAGACGCGACCTTCGAGTGCCTGGGCAGTTGGCCGGCTTCCCCGGGCGCGAGAGCGAGCAGCGACCCGCTCAGGTACGTGGCATTTCTGGACAGCAGGGGCTCAACGAGTTTTTCTGGGCCCGCCAAACGCAGACGGCCGAGGTATCGCTGCGGGGTGAGTTGCTGTGGTTTAATACATCATCAGCCCCTAATTTTTTCCTCCCCTCCCCCTTTCATCGCCCGCGAGTGAGAGATAATATAATGCCCGGTATTTCGATGGTAGTTGTATCACGTCGACAGCAAAACAGGGAAAACGTATCTGACGTTGAGCAGCGACTCGAGCTGCTCGGCGAACCTGCACAACTCGACCAGCGGCTACGAGAGCCTCGTCCTCAGCAAGACGACGACGCAGAAGAAGATGCCGGACTACGTCATCGATAACTTGAACACGTGAGTTTTGGAGATTTTGAGCACAATCATACATCCCATTAATTTAATATAAAAAAAACAAAAAAAAAGAAAAAGAAAATTAAATTTTCTCAGTCTCGATGCATGAAAAAAATTTGTTCAGCCAGAATCAGTTGATTTTATTCTGGAAAAAAAAATTTCCCGTTCAGCAATTCCATAAGAAAATTTTGCTGTGCAGTTTTGTAAAATAAACGCCAATTGTGAATGAATCGTTTGATAAACTGTCTCTGTGTGTATAGGTTTCCCAGATGGGCGCAGGGCGAGTGGGAGGAGACGCTCATAGTCAACGGGACGATGACGTTCAACGACTTGAACGGCTACAAGAGTTTTACCTTCGTCACCGTAGACTCGAACGACCAGGACGGTCGGTACATCGTTTTCTTCCGAGACCAATGGTAAACATTTAACGAGTTTTGAAAACAAAAAAAAACCATTATATATTTATCAAAAGTTTGTGTAAACATAAATTTATACTTTCCAGCGAACAAGAAGCCTACTCGTGCATGGTAATGAAGCAGCGCAGCGAGAACGTTTTGGAGTTCATGACAGGTCGGTACTTAACACGTATATATAGGTATACTGCCCTTTTTTTTTTCTTCTTCTTCAAAAAAACACTTGTACATTGACAACGATGATGATGTTGCAACACAGTGACGTCCTCGAGTCCGGTGTACCAGCCGTATCTGTGCAACAACACGAGCCGACTGCTGGACCACGCGGTCTGGTGGACCCTGGCCAGGCTCGAGCCCAGCGAGTCGGCTTGCCCGATAACGGGCCAGTACATCGGCCAGATAACGGACGTGCCGGGCACGTGCGCCGAGCTCAGCAGCAACTGCTACACGAGGCAGATCATGTACTACAAGGTCTACGGCTGCGAGACCGGCGAGCTCTTCGAAGGTGATGAGGCTTTGGATTATAATGTTGTACAAGAGTACAAGTGTCGTATATGTAGCACCTCGAGTGTATAACAATCGTTTCTGTCGCGGCCAACAGAGAGGACGTACCTGTGTCTGGGCCAGTGGGAGGAAAAGGGCCTGACGTACACGTACACCATGAGGAACGACACGAAGACGCACGAGTGCTTCGTGGGAGCGATCGTCAGCGACGACGAGATCTACATAAAGGAGGCCGGCGACTACTGCTTGAGAACCATCGACCCGAGGACGGAGGGCATGCGGCTGTACAAGAACGGCGAGTGTTACGGTAACTCGTCGAGCCCGGCCCCGACGATACCCACGAAAACAACGACCCGACTGTCCACGGTCTCGATCACGACGCCCGTGAGGACCGTGTCGTCGACGACCGTGCGGACGACTGTCACCACGAGGACGAGGGGCTTTGTCCTAGGTACTTACACGTCGTATATACACGATCGTTTTTTTATGTTTGTCACCGTACACAGAGAGAGAGAGAGAGAGAGAGATTTAATTGTTGTTTTTTAGGGTCGTTCACCACGACTACGACGACGACGACGACGTCCGAAAGAACGACGAGTTTGAAATCATCGACAGATTCGGTCAGAGTGAACGGATCGGCGATTGCGACGCTGTTACTCGTCGTTTGCCTACTCAATCGGCAGCTCCTTTGGTTTTACGCATCAAGAGAATGATGTGATGACAATAATCGTGATCAACGAATCAACCATTGACGGTTACAGGGAGGACGGGGATTTGTTGAAAAATCTCGCGTCGCCCTGGCGTACTCTTTAAGGCCCTTTTGTAAATAATTACGCTCAATTGTGTGTGTATACGAACTCAGTTATTGTAATAAAGTATTATGTAGAAATAATAAAATTTATACGTGAAAAACCCATCGAGTTTCATCATACTTCATTTGTCACTGTACAAATTATCCATGAAACAAATACGAGCTCTGAGAAATTGTCGTTTCGTTTGAATTTTACATTTGCAATTTCTCGCATTACTTTCATTTTTCCTTTGTGAATCCCATGAGCATCCCCCCCAAAAATACAGCTGATGCATGCATGGTCGACGATAGCATAGGTGACGGAATGGAATCCTATTTACCTTCATCAACAAAATATGTGTGTGGGTAATTGTCGCAAGGAGAAAATATACGGTAGTAGTTCTCATAGGTCCATGGTCCGCCCGAACCAAGAGAGTATAAATTCAAAGTAAAGCGCGCGAGAGAGAATCAGCTGATCGATACAAGAAAATTATTCTCTGTGACATAACACACGTATACACACTCTTGCACGCAATAGCGCATACGTCATCTCCATGGAGAGTCGGATAGTCAGACATGAACACAATAAACTTTCCTAGGCGCCGTGTTGTCGAGATATATGTTGCGCGTTGTGGTACTACGATTACACGTATACCTCCGAGCGGAAACGCGGGCATTGTCAGTCGATGTTTAAGAGGCTAGCTGATTTGTTTCGCAGGCGCGTTGACAAAAACTTTTTCGCGGTTATTATGGCTGAGCAACAACAACAACAAGACGGACTCTGCTTTCTAGGCAAGCTGGATCGATACAACAGCGTCATCGTTGACTCAACAAAGGAGCCCTGTGAGCCAAACAACTTCCCGCATCGGCTTCAAGGTGCTTCACATTGACATTCATTGCGCTACTTATGGTCAATGGTATTTTTTTTTTTTTTTTTTCGTATTTTTTACAACACAGCAAGTGACTAAGCGTTTTTTTTCTGTTTGTTCCTCAGCCTCTCTGGATCAGTGGATCAAAGATAAGAAGAGAACGATATGGTTCAGAGTGGATATCGGTCAGAGTCACTGGATACCCGAGCTGACCAAAAGAGACTTCAAGTTTCATCACGCCAAGGAAGATCAGGCCACTTTGTACCGCTGGCTACCCAGTCACGAGAATTGCAACGTGCCTCCGTACGCCCATACTGTGCTAGGAGTTGGCGCTGTCGTCTTGAACGACGAAACCGGGGAGATACTCGTTGTCAAGGAGGAACACGGAATCTCCAATAATTGGAAATTGCCCGGGGGGTACGTCGAGCCCGGAGAAGATCTCACCTCTGCTGTGGAGAGGGAGGTTTTCGAAGAGACTGGTGTCGTTGCCAAGTTCAAGTGCATGCTGGCTCTCAGACACGCCCACGATTGCGTCTTTGGGTGCTCTGACATTTACACGATTTCATGCTTGGTTCCCACGACATTTGAAATCGTCAAGTGTAGTAGAGAGATTAAGGAATGTAAATGGATGAAACTTGAAGAATTTATGTCCGATCCAAATGTTCATCAAAACAATCGCCTGCTGGCATCCAAGGTGAAGGAACATCTGGATCACAGGATGGGCATCACTGTAGACAATGCCATACATCCAATCACCAAGAAGCCTCTGCGAGTTTACAGTTTATCTAAAATTTAACCCACTTAATGTTTTAATTACCTAATATATGTATAATATATATGTAATTCGTGCAATCAGCCTACATAGTTCAAATCGTCACTACAATTATAATTGTAATCTGTGATGTGTTCGATCACCGCAAAGCGCACAAATCTTTACTTTTAAGCTGTTGATGTTAAATTTGTTAATTTGATATAATTTGTACATTATAGGTAGCTTTGAATACAACAAAAGTATTTGTACAAATTTAAAAAAAAGTAATAATAATTGGTACAAACGGGTTTTTACCATAGCTTTAGGTGTACCAGAATAATAATAAATAAATTTAAATATATTTTATTCGATGACTATGTAAAACAATCGCTCATCCTACCTTATTCAAACTCGACACGATTGACAACAACCAATGCGGCGGAACGCGGATCTAGCGAACCACGTATTTTTGGAGCAGCTCAGTATATATAGGTACCCTCACTGGTCGTATGTAAGTATATACGTGTTGAAATTGTAGCGGTGTGTCGACAACTGGTAAACGACGACGAATAAAATATCCACAGAACCTCCAATCCTCGTTGTCCTCATCCGCAGTACTTGCGCTTGAATAAACGACGGTGTTGGCCTTGTTTTGTTTAAGTAAACTCAATGTGACTCTCCGCGGCTCTCGGGGTACGTATGTCCAAGCGGTAAACACAAACGGGGCAAATGAAGAAATCGCGTAGCAAGAGATTATCGACGTTCTTTGCCTGTTTTTCGTTTATTTTATAAACATATACTGCAGCGTTCAACGACGGGCCCCACGTCGATGCAAACATGAGTAAGATGTACTCAACCGCAAATCTTTCGGATAAGGAGCTCAAGGAGCAGGGCAACCGCCTGTTTAGTCTTCACAAGTACGAGGATGCTGCGAATTGTTACACAAAGGCAATCGTAAGTCGTGTGTGTTTGGGTGTGCAATTCACAAAAAGCTGGACCCTGGGTACTTAAACGATTGACTTTGTTATTTTCGTCAGATCAAGAATCCAAATCAGGCTCTTTACTTCACGAACAGAGCTCTGTCGTACCTGAAGCTCAAGAGGTTCGAATCTTCTTGTCAGGATTGCCGACGGGCCTTGGATATCGACGCAAATCTTGTCAAGGGACACTTTTTCCTTGGCCTCGCGCTCCAAGGACTCGAACTATACGATGAATCCATCAAGCATCTGCAGAGAGGTAAGTACCAAGTGGGGTGTTTTTTTGTTCTTTTTCTTTGTCTAGTCATTTTTTCGTTATCACAATGACAGGTGATAACATGCAGTGAATATTAAATGTACGGACAAGATAAACGCCGTTTATTTTTTAAGTGTGCATGGAACATGTAATGCGATTGATGTAGTTTTAATTGTTTTGAAAGAGCTTGAGAAGTTTAAGAAAAAATATTAAGTTTGTATATAATGAAGTTTCCTCAGTTACCATCAAAGTTTTCTTCCATAGTAATTTTTTTGAAAAATACGTGCTGCTCGTCATTGTATTATAAATAAATAATGAATTTCATTAGTATTTATGCAAGATGAGCTGCAAATGATTTATTAATGAAAACTAATTTAAGTAATATACATAATTTCGATTTTAATGTGAAACATTCTTCCTATTTGCTGATAATTACGATTATTTTAGATTATTTAATTAATAATGTTGCAACTTTTTAGCTCACGATTTGGCCAAGGAGCAGAAACTCAATTATGGAGATGACATGACTAGTGTTTTAAGACAAGTTAGGAAAAGGCGTTTCCAAATTAAAGAGGAGCAGAGAATCAATCAAGAAATCGAGCTCCAGTCATACGTGAACAAACTAATTATTGAAGATGCGGACAGAAGTTTAGCTGAGCTTCAAAAGAAAGAGGGCAAAGGAAAAGAGGGAGAGGACAATTCACACTTTGCAGATCTTCGTAGAGAGATTGAAGAAAAGCGAGACTCTTCCATGGCTCAGCTTAATGATTTATTTGCTAAAGTTGATGACAATAGAAGAGTGAGTAAAGTTTTTCTTAGTTTTTGAAATTTTTACATTGTTCTCTTAACAAAGTTTGTATGATTATGTTTAATTTTTATAGAAACGTGATGTTCCTGACTATTTATGCGGAAAAATAAGCTTCGAAATACTGCAAGAGCCCGTAATCACGCCAAGCGGTATAACTTATGAAAGAAAAGACATTGAAGAACATCTTCAAAGAGTCGGTCACTTTGACCCAGTGACGCGAGTTCGATTAACACAGGATCAACTGATACCTAATCTTGCAATGAAAGAGGTGGTAGATGCTTTCTTGCAAGAAAACGAGTGGGCTCTTGACTATTAATAAAAACATCAGGCAAGAACATGAAAGACTCAATAAAATATTTTTAATTATAAGACGATACATATAAGTATCTTAGTTTCGACTGTAATACTAATGAAAATGTAAAAAAGGCACTATATTTAGAAAAATATTTTTGTTTATAAGAAAACAGACTACAAAAAAGTATATTTATAGAATATCTAAAACTACAGGATAGTTCTTCTTAATTAATTTTTTTTTTTTTTTTTTTTTTGAAACATCTTTATTGTGTTACAAGATTATACTTTCACGCTGATTGTTGTAATATATTAATTTTTTGCGTTTAAGTCTTTGATTTATAAATTACAATAAAGTTAATGAAATTTTATGACTGTGTGTGTGCCAGTGTATTTTTTAAGTTTTCTAATATGTATTGGTCAAAAAAATTTTATCTAGACTAGTTATTTTTTTGGTGATCTTATTGTTTAATTTTATATTTCATTTTACTTCCTTCTACAAAAGTTTACAGTATTCAAATTTGAAAAATGTATAGCCTCTCATCCACCAACTCTTTTAATTGGTATATAAATAAATAATAAATTGTATATAAAATAAATTCTCTCAGACGGTCTTATGTTTATATATACAAAGCTAGTTTATTTCTACGTCAACTCTTTTTATAAATTAATTTTTTTTCACTGGGACTCTTCAATAGAAAAGTATTAATACTATTATTACATACTCTTACAATTTCACGCGACTATTCAACACGTCAATTCATAAAAACTAACATCAGCATAATGAGCACAGTTGTATTAAAAAACAGTTAATACATAAAAAAAAATATATATATTGATTGTACTTCTTTACGACTGAAGAGAGTTTATCGAAAGCAGTGCAACTACAACGGCAAGGCAGGGAGGAAAGCACCAGTAATAATGGGCTGCATTAGATGTAGCGGATATCACCAGTGCCATCCATCCAAAAAAAAACAATGCAACTGACAGCAATTTCGTTTTATTAGAATTAATAGGAGTCGTGGGTATTTTTACTAATCCAGAAGTTCCGAATGCAACCATGACGATCCAACTACATAAAAATACTTCATCTTCTGAAGCTAATCTCGTACTGTAACTGCAAAAAAGTTTGAAATTAAAAAAAAATTAATTATTTCAAAGGATGGACCATTGAAATATAGTGTAACATATTAGTGTGGTGTATATTTACCTAAAGTTCTTTGCCCACACGAGCGCTGATGGCACAGCTGGTAAAGCCGTAAAGCACCAAAACAAGAATAGCAATATTTGATTGAAAATGTTCTGTCTGATGGAATCACCAGATTCGCTCTTCCCGTTTTTCTTCTTTTTCAATAAATTAAAGTGTCTCATTGTTGCCAACAACAATTCCTCCAAATAATCTTCGTACATTTGAGTCAGTCTTAAAAAATGTAGAAAAATAGATAGGAGCATCGCCAGAGCTCCACAAGTAGCTGTTATCATAGAGAGTAAGATACCAGCCGTTACGATCGGCAATTGATTGACCAATCCTCCAAGTACCCAGTCTGACCATGTGGTAGAAAAAGTTACTGCTCTGGCTAAAAATCTGCATGGTAAAAAATTTTAGCATTACGTGCCAAATGCTCGAGTGCACAATGAATGCCGAAAAATATTGCAAGTTGTGTTGTTACCTCACAGCAATTTTATGTGCTATTGATCCAAAAAACACTACCAAACAGCAAACTCCTATGGCCAAGATATGAAGGATGGCTATACCGACAAAACACTCGAGAACTAGATTCAAACTAATACATAAAATCATGGTAACGATTATTATCACACTGGTGCTCGTTTTTCTTTCATTATTACAGTCGATTCTTTGACCGATGGTCAAAAGGAGAAATCCAATGATTATAGGATAAATGAGGGTCCAGCGATCTCGAACCATACACGAAATTCTGTCGATCAAACCAGCCCTTTGCACGCGAATTTTGTATAAACAATTAGGGTCTAAAGTTATCCTCATTTCAGCACTTTTTGTCTTCATGGCGTGTAATCTTTGTGAATGTACCGTCTGCAATGTCATCACTCTTGCATCGTCATCCCTGAAAATGTACATCATAAGTAAATCCTCTTGCATTTTTTAAAAACAAGGTAACGCGACTTACGTATTGGCGAAAAATTGAATCTGCCGAGATCCCGTTGTCCAAGGTTCAATTAATTCAACCATAGCATAATGTGGCTGAGTATTGTCGTAGCAAGTTGCATTTTCAAACTCCACCGATACCGCGTCAGTTATTCTATCCAAATAGACGTAGTAGCGGAGACTTCCGGTATCGGTAGGCCAAGCTACTGAGCTAACTCGTCTAAACCTTCCTCCACGCATGTATCCATCAATTTGGATAATTTGATTATCATCATCGTCATCGTCGTCTTTTTCCATGAAGTGTTTAATTCTTTGAGCCGGAACTTTAACAACTACATGAGAAACTCTTAAATCACGGATTTCGTTCAAATCCAAATCTACCGAGTATTTCCCAGGTTTTCTGCTTATGTCAGGAACGACTTTAGTGCGATTGGATAGATTCCAACCCCATGGGCTAATAATCATCGACAGGAAATTATTATTAATCTTTTCAATTCAATTGTAAATTTTCAACACCAATAGAGTACCTACCACACTTTTGAATATCCGCGTACATCAGAAGCAGAACAGGCAAAAATCCAGTCCTTTGTTTTCAAATGAACAGCATCAATGGATAGAGCATCGATCGGTGCATTTAAACTGATCATCAGGTATATTGTACTAGGTTTCTTGGATTTGTCATTAAAATAATCTTTGCTTCTCCAAGTGTATTGTCGACGTAAATCTTCAATCCATTCACTGGGCTCGTTAGGAAAAGTAACTTTTTCAGAGTATATTACACCGGGTATATGCTTCTGAATGCTGTAGGGCTGTAAAATTTATATAACTTAGTAATGTATTTTTAAAATTAAAAAAAATTTTTCTTTACACAAGTACCTGATTAAAATGCCAATTGAAAGCCATCATTCTAACATCTTCATTGTCAGTAATACTAGGAGGCCTTAACGTAGCATTTACGCAATCAAATAAACATCTTACTACGTTTAAAACAAACTGTTTACACCATAAAATATTAAGATGGTCCATCGATCTCCAAACTCCTGGGATGTGAGTTGTAAGTGCATTTAAATCGGCGTAGTCGTCAACTGTTTGAGACGAAGGAACGAGTATGTCTCTTGGACCTCCACCAATTGATATTACGGATGTGCCATTGCGTTTCAAAGTTTTCATGTTACTCTCTAAATTCATGTAATACTTATAAAATGTGTAATCTGGATAAATCGAAGGCATATGCGGTGTTGATAATGTTATTAAAATACTAACAACATTACTATTAATCTCAGGTACAAGTAAAAGGGCTCCTTTGGCAATGACTCCACCCTAAAATGCAGATGTAATTTTTTCATGTACTTATTTGGTAAATAAATAATGAAATTATTTTCATTTTTCCAATACTAACCATAGAGTGGCCTATCAATACAATATTTTTCGCTCTACCCTTGTAAAGTGAAAGTATTCTTTTTATACATTTAACAGTGTACTTGGCTTGTTCTTTCAATATCCCTCCGTATATACCGGAATAATCTTTGCCAAATGATATTGAAAAGTAATCAAAGTGAAATGGGGTTTTGTATTTCAAACTTTTTCTCAAACTAACCGAAGCCAGGGAACGTGCTGAAATATCCATGAAACATTCAGTGAGCCATGAAAATGATGAAAAAACGGTTCATGTGTTGTACAAAAACCTTGTTCGTGCGAGCCCGCGTTTCCAGGTATGAATAATGCTGGGATTCCAGTGAAGTGCATTCTTCTTAGACGTTCCGTGACAAAACCTTCTCCATAGGCAAACAGCTTAAATCTTGGATACGCAGCATCCTCGGATACATCATTTTCGCTATTCAAACTAATTCTCTGTTGAAATTCAGAAATTATCAGTTCAAGTTCAGTGAATGTCATAAATATTAAATGAAAATAATGTATGTACTCACCACGTACTGAGGATATTCAAACATGTAAGTCATATCGCATGTGTTATCCTCATTTTTGACAACATAACGAGTTGCTCCAAGTACATAGAGTATAAGAACCAGAAAAGACACAGACAACACTATCCCATAGATGACGGAGATTTTGAATAAATTCATTTTTCACTCGATTTACCACTTATACATACTAATGACTTTGAATTAATTTGTTACTTTTTATGACTCATGTAGGGCTTGGACTGAGGTTTTGCCAAAATTTCGAGAGTGAAGGTTAAGGGAATTAAAAAACACGAACTATTTTACGTCGATGATGACGGTGGCCAGCCGGTGTGATATAAGTATACTGATATATAATATATATGAAGGGGGTGACGGGTGACGGGTGACGGCGCGACGGGGGGTGTTGGTAACTTGGCATTGGAGTTGGAGTTGGAGACTGGTATAAATTATACACATGTACCCAAGTTATACATATATTTATAAAACAGCCGGGGGACGTTCGTTGACTATCGCTTAAGTAAAAACTCTAAAAAGTATGTGTGTACAATATAAAAAAAAAAAAGTATAGATACGTTTACGTAAAATGCGCCCTTGTAGTTACATTAACTGCTTTAGATTACTTACGTTAACGCACCCATACACCCTATCTTTAGACTCTCTTATCTTCCAATAGAACTCCAATTGAAGGCAATGGTGAATAGTTACTTTCTTATTACATTAGTAAGTAATTGGCTTCAAGTTGTCACTGGGAAGCAACTGAGTTTACAGTTTGTACATACTCAGATTTGCTATGTATTATAAATAAATTTATCTTGTCTGATAAGATATCACTTTTGATTTTGTAAAGAAATAGAGAAAAAAAAAAGATATTTTTTTTAGTAAATAGATTTAATATAATGAATTTCTTTACAAAAAGTGTGGAACATTTTGTGCAAAATTGTATAAAAAATTATCACGGTGATTTATTGGCAGGTTTATTCCTTAGACTCCTCTTTGGCCACATTAAATGGCACTTCGAGTTCCTCGCCACCGCAGTCTTCAATAGTAACAGGCTCAACTGGCTTGTCATTTGCACCAGTTTTAGTGGATTCAATTTTCCTAACAACATCCTGTAAAATTACGAAACATCAGCTTTGTTTCACAAATGTGCCAATAACAAAAACGTTCAGAACGGAAAGCATATTTGAGTCTTACTATTCCTTTAATGACTTTTCCAAAGACAACGTGTCTACCATCAAGCCAGGTTGTTTTTACAGTGGTGATAAAGAACTGAGAGCCATTAGTATTTTTTCCTGCATTAGCCATTGAAAGCCAACCAGCCCCATAGTGCTTCAGCTTGAAATTCTCATCTTCAAACCTGTCGCCATAAATGCTGGTACCTAAAAATTTGACACCAACAGAAAATTTTATATATCCGTTTTAACGTTAAAAACAAAATTGTTGATGAGAAAACTTTTACCTACCACCTGTGCCATCCCCTTTAGTGAAATCTGAAAAAAAAAAATTGTCATTATCGCGGTATACCGATTTTTCAACTAATTTCAGTAAAACAAAGAATGAATTCCAGTAAACAAATAGTATTCTATGAAATATTAGAAACTAAGTAACATTTAATCAGTAGATCAATAAAAGTAAACGAATAGTAAAAATTTACATGTCAAAAAAATCAAACGCTTGGATGAATCAAAATTCGAAGTTGTCGCTGAATTAAAATTATTAGACGGTAAAAAGAAAAAAAGGTTGTATCATACCTCCACCCTGAATCATAAAGCTCTTAATCACCCTGTGGAACGAACTGCCCTTGTATCCCTTGCCTTTCTCTTTCTTCAGTGCGAGTTGATAAAAGTTTTCCACGGTCTTGGGCACGGTTTTTCCAAACAGACCGATTTCTATTTTACCAATTTTTTTACCTCCAATCGCCACGTCAAACCAGACCTATACAACAAAAATAAATCATGTAAGCACGAGACATAAAATTCGCGCTATTATCTATACAGTGTCCAGCGATAACATTATGTAGAGATAACATTATATTAAGAATATACATTGGCACACAATATGTTTTATTCAACGCTACTTATGTGTTAGCTTTACAGCTGTAGACTACATCCTCGAACAAAGGACACAAAGAAAAGCGCTATAATGACGACGCTATATAGGTTGTATGTAAAAAATAGTAGACAAAAGAGAAATATGTTAAAATCCAACAGGTATAACGTACCTTGTGCGTAACCTTCGGTCCTTTTTTAGCGGAACTTTCGTCATCGGCAAACACGCAGAGGACGACCGCCAAGAGGCACGATACCAGGATTATCGCCTTCATGGCCAGGATGAGGTACTTTCGACTGAAATATTCCTTCCAGCTGAACAACCAGTGCCTGTCGAAAATCGCCGTTGTCTAACTGATGTCGGCAGGGCGACGGGAGCCGAGTATAGCTGATGTGGCTTACTTGCGCGCTCCGAGTCTCCGACGACTACTCCGAGAGAGAGAGCTTCGACACACCCCCCCCCGAAGCGATGAGTTGTCGGTTTGGATCAGGGCGGGAAAATGTTCAACAAGTCGAAGGATGTATGCACTTGTACACGAAAAAATTAAATTATCGCCTATTGTTGCATGAGCAAGTACTTATATATTTTGCGGACGGATGCGAAATCTCGTTGCTGAAATTCGTATGTACTTAATTATTAAGCTTGAGGGGGGAAAAGATAAGTATATTTTAATAAGTACATGTAAAGTTATTTGCGTTGGAACTCAGCGATTGGTCAACGAAACACCGGCCCCGATCGTATTAAATTTTAAAATAGGTTGCATCGCTAAATTACTAGCTTATCTTGGAAAACTCTGAACACTTTACCAATTTATTTATTTTTTATTTTATTTTTTTTCAAATTAAGAATTTATATACTGTATTCTGTTTGCTGTGTATAAAAATCAGAATTTGCGGTGTACTTACAATTGAGATGTTTTTAGTTTTGAAGTGAATTATTTGAACAATTAGGAGATGAATTTAGAAATACCTTACTTGAGTTTTTCTAGTGATAGTTGTTTTGGACTTATTTTTTTGTAATTCTATTTTCACGGAAACGTTTCTTTTTTTTTTTTTTCAAAGATAAGCGACGTTGTCCATGACTTAACAAGTATACGGTGGTAAGGGATTAGGACGTAGATAAGAACTCATTTTACAAGACTATTACACGTTTTACTGAAAAATAGTAGTATAGATTATGCGAAAAATAATCACGGGATGCTTTTTTGTTGATTGTAAGATTTTTTTTGCTTGTACATACAACATTACATTGTTCATGATGTAAAATTTTTTTAATTTTTCGACCAGCGAGTCGGGGAATTTATAGTTATTTAGGAGAAAATAATACAAGGAAAATTTCTTTATTACAAAAAAATATATAATGCATCCCAGTAAACGCATATAATTTCTTATGATCTTTTGAAGAGTCTTTTGAAGACTTCTAATGTCCATCTTATTTTAAAGACATATATTTCTGAGCTTTAAGGATGAAAATTTCAGGAATTTCACCCTTAAAGAAGACATCTACAAGACATCTAAAAGAAAACTTAAGAAAATATGTTTTCCGAGCCATATCTTTCTGAGTTCTGCGGAACCCACTGATGTGATTGGCTGAAAAAGTATAAGTCACAGCTAGATAGGTACAGCTAATTAAAAAAATTTTCCACCACTCGAATGATGATTAATACAGGAATACAATAAACTTTAATTTAATGTTGTGTTCGTAGTATGTAAATATATATTTTACACATTATACTCATATTTTGTTTTATTATATTACACTTTATACAATTATCTATCTTTTATCATCATATAGCAGCTAGGTAATTAAAATTATCAATAATATTTTCTTCGTTGAAAGATTTTTTTTTGCGCCCACTACAGTACTGACTTATACTTTATAGGCAACCTCGCCAGAACCTTCCGAGTGCCCCACAAGATTATTGATACACTGATATTTGATATCAGAGTCCACTCTTTGAAGAATCTCACGTATTTGCTCCTCCCTTCACTTTTTACAAGGACTCTAAAGGCAGAGGAAATCCGAGAGGTCTGACCATTCTGCTCTTGTTTGGGCAGTGAATGCTATATATTATATAGCCTGATATTTAAATATAATTAAAGGTACTGTTTTTTATTGTTACCATGTGACAGTGCATTTTAACCATATACGTGAGTTTGTTAGTTTGTCGCGGTCATCAAGCCTTTAGTAGATTATCCAATTGTTAAACAGACAGTGTGAATAACAGAGAGTGAATCGGCAATTTTTCAAAATAAAGCAGTTGTTTGATTTTAACGTTTTAAATACTTACTCTATATTTTCTGTAAATTCAAGGTGGAGCTGAATAATAATGGATAGTGTTGGCGTTGACTCTGCTTCTCCGCCTCCTGAGGAAAATAACTCGCAAGCTGATTTTATCAAGCAGGAGCTGAACTTTGACATTGATCCCAATGATCCCCTTACGCAGGCTAGTTTGAACGATCATCCAGTGAATGAGTGGATGGACATACTAGGCAATGGTCAGTTAAGGAAAAAAGTGGTTAAACCAGGCAAAGATAACACTAGGCCTAACCGATTGGACTTGTGTATGTTAAGTTTTACTGTCAAATTGGAAGATGGAACGATTGTCGATGAAGCAGAGGACCTTATTGTTCAAGTTGGAGATGTGGAGTATACTCAGGTAATTTTATTTTATGTTGTTGAGAAGCCATCATCTTCCAAACACTGTTTGATCAATTTATAATTAATTTGTACCACACAGGGACTGGATTTAGCTTTGGCATTAATGGAAACAGAAGAAGAAGCCATTATTGAAGCAGAAGCAAGATTTGGTTATGGCTCGCTAGGAAGACCTGCAGTAGGACCTTTTCCAGAAATACCTTCAAACGCAAAACTTATTTATAATGTGACGCTAAAAAGAGTGGGAATTGAGCCTGACATTGATACATTACCTATTAGTAAAAAAAGAGAGATCGGGTACGTTTTATCATATGTATTCTGGTAAAGTTTTTTTTTAATAATTATACATAATTTTAACTGTATACTTTTATAGAAATAAGAAGAAAGAAAGAGGAAACTGGTGGTTTTCTCGTAAGGAATATACCCTGGCAACCCAAAGTTACAGAAGAGCACTGGATTATCTTTCTCTATCTAGTGAGAGTGCCCCAGAAAATGAAAAATCTGAAAGAATAGAACATGTGTCTGATGCTGATTTACAAGCTATCCTCGAGGATTCACTAGTGGTACACAATAACTTGGCTGCTGCACAGATGCAGTGCGAGGCGTACGATGCTGCTTTGAAAAGTGTAGAGAATGTTTTAAGATGTCAACCTTTAAATGTTAAAGCACTTTTTAGGAAAGGTAGGATAAGCGTGAATTAATCGTTACGAAACAATTAACAATCCTGCAATAACTTTTTAGGAAAAATTTTACACGTCAAGTTGGAGCATGCCAAAGCTGTTGCAGTTTTATTACAAGCCTTGAAAATTGAACCTGACAATAAAGCAGTTCAAAAAGAATTGGAAGTTTTGAAGAAAAAAAGCGCTAAAGATGCTCAGCATGAGAAAAATCTTTACCGTAAAATGTTAGGAACTACAAATAATAAAAATAAAAGTGAATTGAATGTTAAAGAAACAAAAAAAGTTAGCACCAAAGTGACCTGGAGTTTGCTCGGTGGAACGATTGCCGCGGTTGTTGGGATTGTTGCTTATAAATTTATTTCATGATTGTTAAATTTTCAAACAGATAATTGTTTCTTTGCGCATTTAAAACTCTTGTTAAAAAAAAAAAACAAGTAAAATTTTAAGGCATTCCATTGCACGGTTTAATTTAACTGCAGGATGTGTGTTGTTAATTATTGTTATATTTGTCTGGTAACTTTGTATACATCTTTATATTCAATAAAAAAAAAAAAAATTAAAAACAGTAAATATTGATTTTTTCAATTACGATTTTTAATAACGAAATAAATCTAGTATTTACAAAATTGATCTTAAAAATTTAAATATTATATGTGTATATATATTTATATATAGCTCTTCTCATTTAAGTGTACTAAATCATAATGACAATGTCGAACAGTAGTGCCTATCTATCAAGTTACGAGCGGTTTCTGCATTTCCTAAATAAAAATTAAAGTCAAGATAATGTTTATTCATAAAACTTTTGTTACCAATAAAGTAAAGTTACCTTGTTGTAATTCGATATAAACAGCCAACATGATTACATGTATAGGAATGTCAGAATTTGGTCTCCTTGTATTCCAAATCTAACAGACGAGTGTAAAATTAAAAATTTGTATATTAAACGAAACAATCTTGAGTATATATTCTGATCCAGTGACTTACCTGTTTTAATACCTCTGTACATTTATCTAACTCTCCGCGAATTGCATAAGCAACTGACATGTTGTACTGGAGAATCGCTGTTGCAGAAGCCATGTCTGACGGATACCACGAAACTACATAAATTCAATTCATTAATATGTGTTTTCTCTAGCGGTTATAAATAGTTTTATTAGTGTCCTTTACCTTTAGTAGGTTTTTGTTCAATGATTTCTTCAATAACTTTTTCTTTGTCATCACTGATTTCTTGAATCGGAATATAAGTAGACGCATTAAGGAGTTTTTCGGGTTTCAAATACTCCAGCGCCTCGTATATCCTGTCCAAACATATTAAACTCTCTGCTGCATACAGATTTCCAAGCAAACGTTGTGCACCTGGTAATTGCTTTATACTGAGAAGAGATTTTGAGTATTCCAGTGCTGATATGTAATCGCCCAAGCACAAAGAAACATATGCACTAGCAGTTAAAATACTAATTTTTAAATTCAAATGTTCTACTACTGTTTGTTGACATGGTTCAGTTTGAGTATTTGAGTTTTGATTCGAACTGGGATTCATCATTGAAATATTGTTAGCTGTTGAAAAATTAAAAACAAAAAATTAAACCAATTAATGTAGATGAAATAATTGGGATCATAGTCCAAGAATATCTCATTACCTAGTTTTGGATTCCCTGCTGTTGAAAAAGTTTCTAGGAAAATTGGATGATGTCTTTCAGCCATTTTCTTTATTCCTTCTCCTGCAGGAAAATTTGTCATAGGCAGATTTGTTTCTTCATATTTTGACTTTGGTAGCAAAAAAAGTGCATTTTTAAGACACAGCATTCCATATTCTAAAGTCGGCTGAGGTATTGCAAAAGATAATCCTTCATACCCATAAGTGTATGTTTTGGACATAGTGTTATTTAAAATAAATTTCCTATTAACTGTACAATTTTCGTTTTTCTCCCCAATAATTTTAGTAACAAGATTTTTTCGACCTTCAAGAATGTCTACATCTGCTTTATTTGACTGAAAATAAATAAATTTTATCTAGAAATAGAGTCACTAAGAAATTTCGCCAGAGATTTTGCCATTTTATGATCCAACACTTACAGGTTTGTGACAAATAATACAACATTCTGCCATCCTCAACCAAAGTCTTGATTCGTTGTGAAACTGTTGGGCAGCCTCAATAAAACAATCAAAAGCTTTTGCTGCTTGCCCTGAATACAAAAAGCTAACTCCTAGACTGTACATTAATTCATAATGTTTGCTTTTAATAAGAGCATGAAGCTGTGGTTGGGGCTTTATATTGTCTGTATTTTGCAAATTTTCAACAGCTTTTTTATTTTCATTAATAGCAGCTTTTAAATAATAACTGGCTAAATTTGGCTTCCCCAAAGCAAAATGTATACTAGCCATGTTATTGTAATACAAAACTGGAATACACTCACCACTAGTTCTAATATAATAGTCAAACAATTTTAATTTATAGTAAGAAATTTATAAATTTTTTATGTATCAAGTATTTTATGACTCACTTGAAATCTGGAACAGACTTGTTGTCGATGGAGTTTAAAAGTTTAATGGCTTTTTTGAAATTTTTCCTCAAAAATTCGTGATTTGCTCTCATCAAGATTGTCGAGGTAAGCTAGAAAACCAAGTCAGCAAATAGATAAGCCATTCCTGAGATTTATGTAGTTAAAACTCTTAAAAGAACTCACAGACATAGGTAGCAGACGAGAGACCAAATTAAGTTTGAGTTCATTCCTGTAATTTTTCACTTGAAGCGTCTTCAGATACACTCTGAGCTTGCACTTTAACAATTTTATCTTAAAATCTGTATCCATGGCAGAGTCAAAATTGTCCTTCTTCTGATCTTTGTCCGCTGCCGATGGAGATGCTGCTGCAAAACTCGTCACAACTTTGGCAGCAGTTTTAAGTGCTGCCTCTTGTTTCTGGTTCGGACTCTGTTCACCCAAAGTTGATTTGACAGCGTCAATAGCACCAGCTGAGGTGAAATGATTTTCCGCAAAATGAACGACAGCTAGAGCTGTGTCCTGCTTTCCAAGGGCCAAGTGCAGCTCGATGAGTAGCAGGCAAATTTTATGTACAAAAAGTTCATCTGAAATAAATAAAAAAAACATAACGGTTAAACGAACCGTGTGACTTTATCCTCAAAAATGTCAAAGTTGTGTGTATGTAAGTAAAAAGAAAAAACAAACCCATGGGCTCTATGAGGGAAAAGAGCGAATTGGCGATCTCGAGGGCGGCGCGATACTGTCCCGCGTGATACATCATGACCGCCTGGTTGTAGTGCAGGACGCTCTTCTCGAGGGCCTCCGTCTCCTTGGCGCTGTTGCTGATCCCCTGGAGGCTCTTGGTGAGGATCTCGACCCTCCTGGCATCGATGCTCTTCTCAAAGTCGACGATCAATTTGTTGTGGGTTACCTTAAGGTCATGAGGCCTGAGCCGCTCGAGCTGGCCCAGGATCTTGGAGCACTCCTCGTAGTTGCTCTTGTTGTACTCGTGAAGAGCACGCTGGGCAAGCTCGCGCTCCTGCTCGTTCTCCTCGGGTGTGATGCCGGACAGAGCCTCGTGTGATGCTGCTGGAGCTTCATCTTTAACGATGCTGTTGTTGTTCTTTGCGCTGTTCATTGTTTTTGTTAATGATGTTGTGCCCTCAAGTAAAAAAATCCGTGATATACTGGTGATACTGCGACAAAATTATTACAAGTAACAGATGATTTTACACGCGCGCACATCGAACACACACAACGCGCTCCACTACTTATGATAGTGCACTGAACTGCTTGAACGACTCTGTCTTGTCTGCTCATGCTCATTCAATCGCATTCAAATGTATATATAGGTATATAAGATTGTGAATAAATAATTTCCGATTTCACGTCCCAACAGTTTAAAATGACGCATTTAATTGTTTAACTTTGGAACCTTTTTTTTAAAACTATTGTTTTCTCTTGAATGTGTTTTCACGTAAAACCAATAATTGTCTTGGTATATGGTAACATAAAAGAAATTTTTAAATAATTTTTTTCTCTCTTCGGCATAAGTATGCAAAACGCAAAATGTAAAAAAAAAAAAAACACTTCGGTGTAAAACAAGATTTTCATTTAATATATTAGTACCTATGGATCCGATTATAAAAATATACACATCATAAGCTCCATGTGCCAATGCCAATCTCAGTATAGGGAGAGCTTTCCGAGTTTTTAATTCTTTAGTTGATTCGCAGTTTTTAAAAAGCTCTCTATCTGTTACAAAAAACTCAGGAAACTTCATTTTTCGTGAAATGATGTAAGTATATTTATGAATGTATATTTTTGAGGATACAAAAAAAAATTTTTTTTTTAAAAGGCCAAAAGGCAAGTAGAAGAGTTTTTTTGTTTTTTATCGTACCCTGAAGAGAGGGCGCTCTATATAGTACAGTGGGTATACTATACTATAGCTGTATATTCTGCATATATAGCGAGTAGCGAGGAGAGAAATGTTCGTAGGCTATTCACAAATGCTATGCAATATATACTCAGTCTATTGGCCTATAACTCTACAATATTTTACAGCGAGATAAAACAACATGTTACGTCATACTACACGTGTTAAAAGTGTTTTCAAGAGGGCGACAAAAATCTTTAATAAATTTTCATTTCTGTAAAGGTTAAAATATTTTTTGGCTTGACTCGTCGCCGCGACAACCGAAGACTTGCCCCGACCAATGTTTTCACTGTTCTCAGTGGGTGTCTGTGCGCGGGCGGGGAGAGTCGACGAGTTCGATGACAACAACTGATTCGCAGTGTCGCAGTTTAAGTTGTATATATAGGTTTATTAGGGTCTAGCTGCACGTAGTACCTACTTGATACTCCGCTTGCAGTTCAGTTCCTACACGCTCGATTACTTAACACACATTTATTTACCTACTTTAAGAGATAGTGGTATACGCGCAGGCAGACACGAGGCGCGTGGGGGCGAAAATAAGTACGAGAAAACCGTGTATTCTTGTACAACTTGCAGAGGTGATAAGAAGCAAGTGAGCGTGTACAGTGCAGTACGCGCGTGGATGTATAAGTTCTCGTTTTTGAGTGTACAATTGTGCGTATTTTTCTTTTTGTATTCCTGCCTAGTTATCGGGAGTTTTTACAGAGCGTAGAGAGAAGAGACACACCGAGGAAACCGAAGACTCCGAAAGGGAAAAAAACGTGTGCCCGATGGCGTCGACCCGTCAAGCATTACTTTCAACACAATTTATCAATTGCTGCACCTGTTCGATTATTTCGTCATCGATATTTACAAGTAGTGCAACAGTAGGTGACGATGAATCCCATGTGACGACTGTTTGTTTATTATTGTTGTCGAAGTGACTGACGTGCGCGCGCGAAATAAACATACATCCAATAGTGTACCCGTATACCTCTACTCAAATACCTGTACACCAAGAAAACGCATTTACAGTTTTACTTATTAAGTACGATACTACAAGAGGGAAATATAAAAGTAATCCTGCATACAATGGACCCGAGCAGCGTCGAGAGGGAGTGCAGCGCGCTGGGCTGCCTCTTCCAGCAGATCATCCAGGACATGAAGGTCAGTTCAATATTTTAGAGCTCAGTCTTGCACTGTTACAATACAATAGAGGAAGAGAGGTACCTCACATACAGTACCCAGAGAAACGTGATCTTGCATTTAGTGAGTTATTATATTATTAATACTGTGCACTCGCTCTCTCTTTGAAGCAAGAGTACTGTGTATTGTGCGTTCGACGCGCTTTTCTCATTGTTCCTCTCCCCTTTATTCAATGAAAGCGAGGTTGTAAAGACGTAATTCGGCACAATTGGCACAACGCGCTTCCCTCGGATTTTCTCTCCCTTCACCGTCCCCTTTCCACCGCTCTCGCTCTTTCTCTCTCTTCTTCTTCATGCCCGTTTTTCCCTCTGCATCCGTGTTCTCTTGCTTATATGTGTTACACCTCTATGTCCACCTCCGCTCTCTTACATCCCACACACGTACATATCTTTTCTTTCGACACTCAATGACTATTATTATGATATGCTGATTTGTCATTTAAAAAAAAAAAATGAAAATTTTTTTATTGCAGAATGGTGCCCCTCTGTGGGAGGATCTCATTTCCAAGGCAACAAAGTTGCACACTTGTTTAAAGTGAGTTTTCATCACTACTGCCATTGTTCTGTTTACCAAAACAAGTCCTTTAAATGTTTAATTTTTCACCTTTCTTTCAGAGCTGCAATTGTAGCTATTTCTGCATACCTAGAAGCTTTTCAGAAGATTGCCGATGCTGCAACTAGTGCCAGAGGTACGGATTGTTGAAAAAAAAAATCCTCTCTTTTCAATTTATTTGTAAATTTATGGACTTTTCTTTTAAATAAAAATCATGTTTTTAGGAGCTACCAGAGAAATTGGAACAGCCCTCACGAGAATATGTCTTAGACACAAAGCAGTTGAAACACGAGTAAAATCCTTCACCAGTGCTATCATGGATTGCCTGGTGATACCACTCCAAGAAAAATTAGAAGATTGGAAAAAGTCATTAGTTTACATTGATAAGGAGCATACTAAGGAGTACAAAAAGGCCAGAACAGAGTTGAAAAAGACATCCAGCGATACTCTGAGATTGCAAAAAAAGAAAACAAGAAAGGGCTTGCAGGGGCAACAGATTTATGGCACACTGCCACATGGCGTTAGTCAAGCTAATGCCACCAATCTTGCTGGTGGTGATGGTGAACTGGGAAGACTGCTTGAATCCTCGGCTGCTATTGTTCAGGAGAAACGTCAAACGTTGGAGGAGACAGAAAGAAAGGCTGTGAGGGCTGCTCTGCTAGAGGAAAGAGGAAGATTTTGTCAGTTTGCCAGATTTTTGAAACCTGTACTTGTAAGTACAGCAATCGCTCCCATCTGTACAAAAAATATAACCTGGTGTGAATGATTATAAAATATAAATCTCTTTGTATTGAAAAACAGGATGAAGAAATCGCGATGTTGATGGAACTGACGCATCTCCAAGAAGTCGCGGATCAATTACAAAAGCACACTACGTCACCCCAACAACTTCCACCAGCCTCCGAACAGGTGATAAGTGATATTAAGGGTCGAGATGCTGCACAGTGGACACTGGCTACCCCGCCATCAAGCCCATCGCTCTCCCTTGGCTCACGAAAAAGTTCCATGTGCTCAATTAGCTCCCTAACGAGTAGTAGCAGCGGCTCTTGTAAGAGTCACCCTAGCCCGTCTGCTGGCCATCCTTCGTCCGCGTGGCACAGATCGGCCTCGCAACAGGTAATTTGAACTTTTGTATTTTTAACGCAAGCAGTGTATTTAATATTGTTCAAATTTTTTATTAAAATTAATAGTTTTGACAGTTCCTAACAGTATTAATTTTTTTTATTCTTTAAATAACTATTTCTGTAATTATTTTATTTTTTTAATAGTATTATTTTGATCGTTTTGATTAATGTATATTAGAAACTTGTGTAGTTGTGAGATGCAACAATCAATGTTAGATGTTTGTAGATTTTAATATATATGGCATGTTTAATACACAGTAGTTGATCCACTTTTTGGTAACTTTTAGTCTCACAGCTGTTCATAACGCGAGTTTGAAAAAATAAATAAAAAAATGATGAAATAAACGAAAGACGTCGAGTTGGCTGGTGATGCAGCGGGGAATTACAACTGCTTAGCCGTGTACATTTTTTTTTTTTTTTTTTTTTTTTTTTTTTAATGTAGTCAATGTTGTGTATGATCGTTATAGCCATTCTGCGGTTTGGTGACTCTACGTTACCGTCGTTTCAACAACTGTGGCTCTCGTGATTCTGGCTTCACATCCCTTCAAGAAAATATTTTTACACAACCTATACACAGAAAACAGGTACGGTGTAGTGTAATTTAGTGCACGACTGCTATACGAAAGTTTTAAATTTTCATCAGAGCAAAAAGTTTAGTCTCTATCAATTACATACAAACGATTGTATTTTAGGCCTATTTGTGGTAAAACAAAAATGATACATTGATAAAAAAATCAACCTTCCATTCCCTTTGTTTTACGAAAAAAATATCTTTTTTTCTCTGGTGATAAATACAAGCAGCTCGCTTTTCATGCAAAATTGAAGCATTTGCACAATTTTAACGCTTATTTCCTCCTATTACTCACTATAAACACGTTTTTAATCTTGTCTGTTTTTTTATTTTTACCATAGTATAAAAAAATATTACGTAGTTAAAAAAATCTTACAATACTGTAGGCGTCCCAGGCTCCTAGGCCGTCAACCACATCGACTTGGCCTGATCTTCAACAAGAAAACACATGCAATGCGCAGCACAATTCGCAAGATCCTAATGCAGCGGGTGACAGGCCTCACACAATTTCTTCAAGTACGTTGAAAAAAAAACTTGGATAAAATCAATAACAACTTTTATTCCAGAGACAACATGATAAGTTTTTTTTAACTATGTTTAAAGCGTACGAAAAGGGCCATCAAAGACCAGCTCTAAGCGCGTACACATTTCAAGCCCTGGATCAAAGTGGTTCTTGTCAGAGTCAACCTGCTTCCCCAGTTTCCACTTCGACTGTCAATGCCCAGACAAACACGTTAAGAATACAGCAGCGAAAAAATAGTAGTGGAAGTATAGGCCGCGAGCGACCGCCCATTCCAAATCGATGCTCTAGTTTGGAACGACCGTCTGTACCCTCGAGAATTGATTCGGCAGATACGTCGAATGTTAGACACGGTCCAGACAGTCCTAGAGCAAAAAAATTACCCATACCAGCACATCTTGCCAAGGGTAAATCATTTGAAAAAATGTGTTACTTAAAAGTCAATTGTACTTATTTAAGCACGCGTTTTATTAAATTTTTTCAGAAATAGCATTCCATCAGCCTCTGCTGTTCCAACAGCCAATGTACGTCAATATGCACGAGCTAGCAAATTTGGCAGCTACCAAGGCCCAAGAGATACTTCCACCGCCGCCTCCACCCCCGACCGTGAAAGGCGACGCACCGACTGAAAGTGCACCCACCGCCTCTATGGAGACAAAGACTGAGACCCTTGTGACAAATTCGAGCGTCGACAGTAGTGGCGAGCACATAGTTGTAAGTTCCATAACCCAACGCAGAGGGTCCCTGCAACAGACGAGCAAACCTGCGCCACCAATGCGTCGAGTTTCCGCGATTGTTGCTGAAAATTTCGAAGAGCGAAGCGGTGGTGGCCATCACAACGACAGCGACCTCGAAAACCTGCCACCTCCGCCAGCGTTCTTATTAGAAGGCTCTTCTCCTGCATCGAGTGCTGCTGGTAGCCCTGCTTCTCAACGGAGGTCTATTTCCGTGTCAGAGACGGTGAGGACGCTTACGGAACTGCGTCACACACCAGCCAGTCCATCCCTCTTAAGGCGCAAGATCGCGACTCAGGCGCAAGTTCACGCTCAGGTTCAAGCCCAGGCTTCTAGCACCGGTGATGGGAAGGCTTTGGCCCGAGCCAGTAGCAGTGGCGCATCGGCTATCAAACAAATCGCTTGCTGTGCCATAGAACGAGCGAGCATGGCCATCAGGTAATTTTTCGGGTTTTTGCGAAAATTAAATTAAAATGTCGTAATGTGATTTTTAACGCATGACAATTTTTTAACGTAGCAATGGTGGCTCTTTGGACCGTAATTCAAATCTCAGTCAGCGAAATGTTCAAAAAGTTGTAGCGGAAAACGAAAGCCACCCAACCAGTCAAGGGCCGGGAGGAGTCGCTTCGAGTTTTATAGCGGTATTGAATGCCAAATTCACAAACAGTATATCTTCGACAAACAGTGGTAGTGGCTCGGCTAACAACAGTCCTAAACCAGTAAGAAAGTTTTCCATGGATCAACAAACAAATCGGAATCCAAAAGCGTCGAATGAATTCCTCGAGACATTAAATGCCAGGCTTGCGGAAAAGCAGCAGCAGCAACAACAACAACAGCAGCAGCAACATCATACCCAGCAGCAGCAGCAGCAGCAGCAGCAACAGCAACAACAACGAATAAATCAGAGTAATATAAGTTTAAGGTCTGCGAGTGTAAGACGTATCATGGCGAACCGCATACCCATCATTGATCCACTTCTAGTAAGAGATTCACTAATGGATCAAATCCGAAAAGGTACGTCACTGCGTAAGACTAATGGTCCTGACGATAGATCGACACCGAAGATTTTTTGAAAAAAATTTATTCTTTCCAAGTAAAAAGTTCAAGTAGACAATAATCGATTTTAGTCTGTATGTGAAACTGGTAACACCTTTACTAAACAGTCTATACATTTATTATTTATAATATTTTCTATCGTAAGTATGATTTAAAAAACACACTAAGCAATAACTCGATGATTAAAATGTGACCAACTTACCCACATGCTCAAGTGAGTCATGAATCATTACTCTAACATTGTTTATCGTATATACTTTTTTTCATATAAATCAGTTTAAAGTGTTGATTCAAGGATTTTAAATATAACTTATTTGTCAACAATGTAATACTATTGTTTGACGTGTTAAGGGATGGAATTACTTTATCACAGACAGTAGAGATTATATATTTGATCTATAGTGTAGCTTGAAAGATCATTTCTACTCGGAAAGAAGTCTAACTGTTAACGTCCATATCAGTGCAGCGGACACAAGCGTAAAATTTTGATTTACATCAAAAAATAACAAAAACGCGAATGTTCCTCGTCTGCTGAGAAAGCCTGTCCATGGCAGGATACGTATCCTTCAATTCATTTTTCTTTTTTACTTCATTGATACTTTATGTTATTTTACTTTTTATTGACATATTTTTTTTTTTTTTTTTTTTTTTTCATCATCTCGTGATATTTCAACTGAAAAATTGTCACCGATTGCAATGTATTTTTATTGTGATTTTAGGGAGATCCATGTATAGGTGCTGGAGATCTCGGCGAGTCGTTTCACGACCCAATTCGTACCTCCTCGTCATACAGCCCATCAGGACTGTAAATCCGAGTCTGGCATCCCCTTCCATCTACACGGGTCCCTCCACTTAACTCCACGGAGCGGCAGAGCTCTCCCGGCCTGTACCAATATCGGGATATAGAACTGCAATTCCGTGACCAAATTTCGCTGGCTAGCTCCTGTTAATTGAAATCTGCACGACTGCACGAGCTGTGTGTGGTGGTAGCGGGCTCGCACACGCGGGAGCACGATATCGCTCTCCCTTCCCCCCCCTAGCTCTTATCAGCTATTGTGCGCAAGTTATGAACTGTCGCGCCACTGCACGCCACGGCGACGCTGCTCCCCGGCTTTTTGCGCTGATTTATATCTCTTTGCGGCCCGAGCTCTCTGCTGCAGCTGAAAACTAGAGTAATGGCTGGCGTAAAACTCGCGTTCCAGCCTGAAAAAAAAAAATCGTCGTCGCGCGTACTCTCTTTTATTTGTTTTTTTTTTCTTTTTTTTTTTTTTTTTTTCCACACCTATGGAGTGTGGTGTATACTAATCTTCTTAACCTTTAATCAAATTTTACATGTATTAATGAATACTATATAATTATTGTTATTGGAATACTTGGCAAATGTAATTTTGATACTGGCCAGATAGGATTTTACCCCATGGCCCAATANTTGTTTTTTTTTTTTTTTTTTTTTTTTTTTTTTTTTTAATTTTTTTTTTTTTTTTTTTTTTTTTTCATAATTACTCATTGCATTTGAAACAAGAGACTGAGCGCGTGAAAATCGACGATTCTGGTGCAAAAATATTTTGTTTTTCTCGACGGATAAGCCCTAGTATTACTTGTGCGACCATATATTTGCGTTTCTTTGCGTAATATTCCCTGCTGAATATCTTCTAACACTGTATAATTAATTGTATCAAACTAAAACGCAAACGAATAAACGAAAAAGAAAAATATAATGAAATTGGAAACAATGCACGGCTTGAGGAATGTAAAAATTTAGCCGCAATGACAGCCCGTAACGTAAATTGCTCGCGTGATATTAACCAAATGTAATTTTTCTAACAAACGGTATAAATTATTTAGCATATTGAGGCTTCTAGGCAAGCGTATACTTTGGACATGTAAGGGTTTAAGCTCCCGTACATACTAACGCATCCCAATTGACCCTTTTTTTACTCGAATATCGCATAGAAAAAAAAATCCAATACAAAACGAGCGCGTAATCCTCCCCCCCCCCTATTTTTGTATGATTTTCATAATAAAAATAAAAAGAAAGCGTAATCTCATAGCGTATCCAGTTTTCCTTGATACTTACACGCTTCTTTTTTTCTTACGCATAATTTAATCTGCGAGAGGTATAGAAAAGATCTAGCTGTTTAGTTGTTTTGGACCAATATATATATATTTTTTTTTTTATAGAATAAAACTTTAGTTCCGTGTACAAAAACCATACGCAGTGTACTTTTAAGTAAGCTATAACTTAACAGAGTAGCATTTTTATTTACGAGAGAAAAATATTGTAGCTAGAGCTAATATTTTTCAAGATACGATAAGAAAAAAAAAGCAAATCAAAATTGAAAAAAAAAAAGAAGAAAAACGTAAAAAGATGTAAATTCATTTAAATAGTTGTATATGTACAATAAATGTTTGATTTGTCTCTCTTTCTCTTGATACTACGCGTATTTTATCGAGTTTGTCGAAAAAAAAAGTATTGTAATTGTTGTAGTGTCACAGCTACCGTTTTTGTACAACTCTTTTATTGCGCTTCTCTTATCCAAAAAGGAGTGCGTCCAGTTTCTTCCTGTTCTTTATATATAAAAAAAAAAAAAAAAGAAAAAAACCATTAATAACAAAAAATAAATATATATGATGTTCATGTACACGAAGTTCGTATTATATATGATTGTAATATGAGCAGATCTAGCCTAGTGCAAAAAGCAGAAATTGTAAAAACAAAAACCGTGCGACGTCTCGCGAGTCGGCGATTCGCCTATTAATATAATATCGATAACTGCCAGTTTAACTGTAGAGACTTTTATTCGAAGACAATTAAAATGACTGTATCGAAGACACCGACTGCTTATAACTTGATAAATATATACGCTAACGAAGAAGAAAAAAGAAAATATTAACGAATAAATAACTATAAGGGAAGAGAGAGGGAGAAAAAAAAAAAAGATAATACGAACGAAATAGAATTGCCGAGACGCCAGACGGGGCGACCCGTCGCTTGGCGCGCGTACGAATCTGCTGTAAGAGAATAATCTATATTTAATGTAGCTACTCTAAAGGATGTTGTTAATTTGTAATAATACCGATTACTTGTGTGTATGTCCGATGTTGTCTGCAAAGGGAGAAGGGAAATGTTTTAACGAGCAAATAAAGAGACATCCGAGTAATCCAACTCTGGACCTTTTTTTTTTTTTTTTTTCAGTGATAAGGAAAAAAGTGGTGGAAGCGGTAAAAAATAAAATATGTCCGTGTATGCCAAATGGATGTGGGAGTAGTCGAGCCGTGAAATAAGCTTACACGCGTGTGTATTATATAGGTGGGCCCGTATATATGTAAAAAGAAAAAAAAAAAAAAAAAAATCATCGCCATGAACCACGCACCCTCTATATTTAGCATCGCGTCAGGATAAAAAGTCCATCTGTCGATGCTCACGTCGTCGAGTGCTCGCTCGGCGTATGTACCTATACATCGAGCAACTCTCGCGTGCGCGTCCGTAGAAATAAAAAAAAAGGCTCTCGTCGCGCGCGGCGGCACGGAATTTCGCGGCGCATCGGGGATTTTGATTCAAAGCTGGCGCGCACACACACACACACACACGTAACCCCAAATGGGGACTGAAAGCCGTAGAAACGCCCGGAAATTCGATGGTCGGGCTCTATCTATCTCTCCCCGTATATTTGTATCAGGCAGAAGCTCGCCAAAGTTTCCGCTCTTCTCTCACGGAGTGCCGAGAAGTGTATATATTATACGGGAGCAGCTGGAGAAGCACGAGGGGGGGGGGCAGAAAACTACCCTAGCGGATTTCTCTCTTGGTCTGCACATGTGACGGGCACGTGAGGGGCTTATCGCTAGTGATTATTTTTACGTGTGAAAAATTACCTACGTACTTGTGTGCGTGGCTTATGGTATTTCGAGCGCACCAAGAGATAATTGAATGTCGAGAATACATGTAAGAGTATTATTTCTCCCTTCGTATGAAATAAAAAGCTCTGCGTACCACCTCAAAGAGAAAAAAAAAAAAAAAAAAAAAATCAGAGAAACGCTCTTCCCCTATAACGTGAATCCTCGAAATGAACTCTCTGCCGGGTGCGCATCGGCGTGACGAAAAAATGTCTCTTTCACCGCTGCAGCAGCAGGTATACCCCCCTCGCTCTCTTGTGAACTCGCGGGCTTGCGGAAATGAACTGTCACGCAGCTGCAGCGGCTCGTCAGACGCAGACCGCGACGTGCCAATAGCACCGCTCTCTGTGTATGTCTGTGCAAGCTCACGTGTGTACGTTTTTATGTATATAGGCAGAGACTCCTGGTTGACGACGAATTAACACCAGCAGAACGAGGAAGAGGGAGTCGGAGCGCTACCGCGTTGAGATATTACATCCGAGGCAACCAAGTACTTTCGTAGGTTTATATGTATACCCACCACCTAAGGTGCGCCTCGCACTCGTAAAATATGTACCTACATGTGAGTATATACACGCGTAGAGCTTACTCAGTTGGCGCATCGTTTCTGCCACTAAGAAGGTGGTGATTATGCGACACTCGCCGAGTGCAGCAGCGCTTGCACGCCCGCCAGAGAGAGAGAGGGGGAGTTTTAAAGCTCCCCCCCCTTCCTGTGTGAGAGCCCCGTCGACGGCAATTGATTTAAAGCGGCAGGTGCTGCTATATACTGCGTGCGAGTGCGCAAAATTACGCGCCCGGCTAGGATTTAATTCCCGTCTCTGCTACTCCTCCTCCTCCTTCTCCTCCTGTCAGAGTCAGGATTTTTCCGCCTCCGTCGAAATTAGCGCTCATTAAGAGCCTTATGAATTGGCTTGCGCTTCTACTTCCCCTCCTTCTTTTCCTCGGATCAGGGAAGTGAAATTCAGATCGACCCAGAAAGCGCGGCGTATACAGCGCTCGCCGGGAGAAAAGAAAGGAGCTTTTGCTCGAGCTTCCTTCCTTCCTTCCTTTTTCCCCGCTACGCTGCTTCCCTCCGAGCGATCCGGCAATCAAAGAATAATGACTCTTCTTTCTCCTTGTCCGCGATCGCTTAGCGCACGAACAATATTCGAGGAAAGACAATATCGCCCACTTTGCCCCTCCCCCTTTTGCCCGAAAAGAAAATTAACAGCCAAGAAAAAGCACCCTCCCCCCACCCCCTAGGTATACTATATACATTGTGTGATAATACCACAAAAACAAGCTTCCGTGTCGTCTCGGTTGGCCAATTGAAAATAAAAGCACGGCTTTTTTTGTACATTATATACATTCTGATTATACTCTGCCAGTTGTTTTTCTTTCGGTCCGAAATCCAGGTAATCCATCGCCTTACCTCGATTATGTATATCGGAGGATACTTACTCTCGAAGGTAATAATGAAAACTGGATCCCTCTATAGCGCACGCGTGCATTAATGGTAAGGACGGTCAAAAAGTCATTTGTCCACCGGGGCAAAAAAGGGCCAAGGGGGGAGGAAAAGGACGCGAAATGTGCAGCCGCTGTATCGCAGATAAGAATCTGGCCCATTAACGTTATCTAATCTGCAGCAGCAGGGGCACCGTGAGCGCATGCATTACACACACACACACACACACACACACAGCGGTAGCTGGTCTCTCGCAAACTCGTTCGCCGCTCGCTCCGCGTATAATTTAATTCTCGTA